CACGCCTGTGCAGGTGCGCAGTGCTGGAAGGGGAGTGTGCACGGCAAGGTGAGCAGGACGGAAAGGGGAGAGAGGGAAATGAGCTCCGAAACTCCTTCCTCTGTTTGTGCGAACAGCCAAACTGGTGCTGAGCTTCCCTCCACCTTGCAGCCCCAGTTTATCACCTTCATCCACGCTGTTCTCATCCCACCTGCTACGAAGGCAATAAACTGCAATACCTGTAGGACAGTGAAGGAACAAAGCATTCAATCCCTTCTGCGTGGCTTTGAACTTGTCCCCGTGTGACCCATCTTAGCTGGTCTTCTGTGCAACATCATCAGAGATTACCACACTGTGAATTTCACGGAAATAAATCCTACTTGGGTTCATAATCTGATTTATGACCTTTAAATGAGAAGAATTACAGAAAGGCAAGGATTTTTGTTGCCCCATGGAGCTGGAGTATAAACTTTGCACAGAATGGAGATGCCAGCTCTGGAATGGGGAGAGAAGGGAAAGTGGGCCCTCACAAGTCCCTCACAGAGTCAGCACTGGGAGAGAACTTGGCTGTGCTTGGCCTTCACTACTTAAATGGCATTCACTTGGCAGAGAAACTCTGCAGCCTGTCCGTTTTACGCTGCTCTCACCACATGCCTTCACCAGTGGTATCCCAAAATGTACTTTACCTTAATATCAGTGCAAATGCAATGGACAACTACTGTTTCAGAATTTCATCCAACTCGCTTTCGGACCAGATATAAAAATATAAATTACTTCATCCTAAGGGAAAATAGCACTACTAAATGAGAAACTACAGAAAAACCACAATGCATAAACATATGCTCTTTCCTGAGAATATATGTACTATAATAAAAACCCCACCAAACTCCATACTTAGTAAAAAAAAATGAGCACCAGTAGCAGCCCCCTGAAATCCTCAAGCTGTGTGATGTTATACTATCAACACAACCTCTTTTCTTCTCTAGGAGATATGTCAGCAATGCCTGCACACAAATCCAAGGTAAACATCAGAAATCTGGGAAACATTCTAAGGGATTTTTAGGTACTTTCCCCTTGTTTCCATGACCTGCTGCAGTGCCACCACTCACCTGCCTGCTTGCACCATTTTTTATCCAAATTAAGTTGTGCAAATATCAACTTTTCCGTGCTGCCAGCTGCATGCTCACCCAAAACCAGCTCCATGGCTGGGCTGGGACAGAATTACAGTGCACGCTGAAAACAGTGTTGCTGAATCTGCTGCACTCTCTGATGTTCAGTTTTGGCTGTAAAGCAACAGACTGGCCACAATGTGCAGCCTTGATATGTGACAGTGGCTGTGATCAGTCAGAGTGATGGCTTGGATCTATAACAATAAAACTATAGGGAGGCACATGTTTTAGACTTGAATAAATTTATTAGTACCAAGTGTGTTCAGTGTATCACAGACACATATCATGGCATCATAAAACATATTAAGAGGTTAATCATTCAAAGGCCTGTGTTATAATGTACATTTTTTTAGTGTAGCTCTGTAAAGCACTGATTTAAAGCATAGTTATATTTTGAGAAAATTGTAAAAATTAAGCCCTCTCAGTAATTTTACTTGTTTTGGGCTACCATTTCTAAGGTTGTGTAAGAGGACCTATTCTCTGCAGCAGCCAAAGAGTCAGGCAACCCAATGCAAACGTAAAGGACTGGGTGAAAAGAACCAGGTTCCCAGGAACAGGGACGTAAGACATGCACAGACACAGAAAGAAAATTATGCCACCTACTATCTAGGGGGTAATAAATTTCAAACATTCACTGTCCTACATCTGAGCTAAAAACCCAGACTAGCAAACAAAGGTGTTTACGTGCTGCCCCTGGAGTGGAAGTTGAACAGCTCCAAGGGCTTTTAACACAACAGCCACAGCAGGTCCCTGGAGAGCTGTTAAAGAACCTGAAAGTTGCTTCAGCACAAAAACCCCTCACATTTGGCCCAATTCCATGCCATACCCAATGTGCCTCTGTGCTGCTCCTGGGCCACTGGCCCAAGAACTCTCCTGCAATCAGTGGCAGGTCAGGCTCTCTCAGAGGTTCATTCGGGCCTCTGTTACTGGAATTACAGTTTACGTCCTTCCATCACCAAAAAGCCAATCTCAGCGTGGTCTCTCACATGCAAACTTCACACACACCACTTCAAAGGCCCTTGGAGATGTGTCAAGCAGGTAAAGCTACAAAATGTAACACCAAGAGACACATTACAAACTCACACCCCTGGCTGTTCCCACTTTATCCTTGTAAAGATTTGCAGGTTTGATCCTGGATTTATGGAGATCATCATCCTGTCTCCAGAGACCCGGGTTCTTATGCTTATCTGAGACAGCACAGAAGGTCTTTGTGATCCAGGATCCTTCTCTTCTCTCGAGAAATAGGATGAGAGGCTTCATTATCTTTGGATAATGGAAACTGCAAGAGGAAAGAGAAAAAAATAAAGCTATGGAGATATCCTGATATTGGGGCCACAGTACTTCTGTAAGTGAAACAGTTAAGGATTATAAACTCCTGGAAAATCAAAACTATGGGGAAAGGAAATTCAGATGAAAATGCATTAGATTCGGAGGAATGCTTCAGGCCACTTAAACAAAAGAAGTCAAAATATTTGGTTTTCACTTGTTTTCAAAGCTAAAGGGAAGAATAATATGAATTTTGCTCAAGTGTGCAACGATATCTGCTATTTCCATCTCAGGAAAAGCCTTCAATTACTGTTTAAATTGTTCATTTACACCAAATTTTTGCTAAGTGTAAGTCTAACAACTACAGAACTACTTCCAATTGTTTATAGACATTATTGCACTGATAATTAAGGCAGTGGAAATAGTTAAGTGTTGCATTGTATTTTACAAAGTATTTCACAGAAAAATGTGTTTCTGATTGAAACCTATGCCTAATTTATTTCCATTTGTTTCCTACCCAGAGAAACCATTTTATTCTTCATTTTACTTGTTAAACTCAATGCATGCTCTGTATCTGATTACCATTTGTATGTATGTGCCAATTATATATCTAGAACACATTATGTATCATATCCGTGAGATTATGCCAGATTTACTTGTTATTATTAGCCACGTAGAGTCAAATGTGCTCATAAATTGCAAAGCTCCATGTTTCTATTTTTCAAAGGAACAGCAAGTTTTCCTAATTACTTGCCCAAAACACTGTAGATAATTTTTTTCTTCATTTTTCAGTGCTGCATTAAACATATAGCAGCCAAATCTACTTCTTCGTCAGAGAGATGCACCAAGAGATGTGAAGTGGTCTTTGTACATTTCCAAATGAAACTTTTTATTGCAGTTGTAAAAAATTCAGTACGCTTTTCACAGAAGAAATCAACAAACATTCCTTAGAGATGCTCCTTCATACTTTACTTGGATGGAAAAGGAGAATGGCTGAGGCACCAGCTTCTTCACTGAAATCAGCATATAAATAGTTCTTTCACAAGCAAGTATTACAAGAAAAAAGGGCTGGGAGTTCTTAGACTCTAAAAAAATAATAGTGAGGCAGCCTTGGAAAGTGCCAGTTAGACAAGAATAAAGTCTCTGATGAAACCTCTTATCTTTCACAGACTTGTCCTGCAAAGTTGAACTTATGCAGAGAAGATGGAGCCTACTGGTTCATAATCCAGCCTCCTGTCCAATATTCTTATTATAGATTACATTGGTAAGGTCCAAAAGTTAATTAGTGCAGAATTTCTCTGGAAATGCATCAAAAGTTTCTGAGGACATGATCGAGGCCTTGGTCCAAGTCAAATCAGCGTCTGAAATTAGATGTCATTAATTTCTTATTATAACAAAAAATGCATTTTATATGCCATGCATCTTCAATTTCTGCAGCAGAAGAAGCGGGACACAAGGAAGTTTAGGCAGAATATTAAAACCATACATCAATTTTAGATCAGTGGGGAGAACGATCTATTCTGAACCAAATCATTTGGATTTTTGAGCAGTATTTTAATCTGCTGGTTCAGTTCCGTACAAGAGTGAAGAAGTTTTCCTCATGAAGAGATGTCACTTTTTATTTTTTTTTTTTTCAAGAAAAATTTGTTAGCAGAAGTTACATAATTATGCTTTCTCCCTCCAGGAAAAATGTTTGAATGTATTTCAGATGGGGCAGCAAGAGGAAGATAATCAGCAGTATTTAAAGGTGTAAAAAACTATCTGGAACCAGAATACCTCTCATGGTCCAGTGGCAGGAAAATTGGACTAATTCCACATTAGGTGCTATATTTAATAAATTATGGCTTTTAAACCATCTTTTCTGCTTTCGGTAATTCTCTGAGCTTCTTGTTGCGTTTTCTCCTTAATGCTGTACTGTAATTCGTCAGGACCTGCCTCTTTTCACACTGTCAACGTTTTGCATCTATCCAGTGGCTTGGAAGAGATGCCATTGGGAACTCCTGTTCTGACAGCGCTCACGGGGGTCACTCCTCAGTTTACTGATCGACCTCACCTGCAGCAAAGTGTGAACACAGCAGAACCATCACGACATTTCCTCCCATGAACTGGTCCTGGAGTAAGCACTGTTTCCATGGGAGAGAACAAACCCGCCCTCCAGCGCACTGAAGACTGTTCCATGTCCACAATTCTGAAAAGCAGCTGCAATAAAACACGCTGAGCTTGTGCACTGTATTTTACGCAACTGCGGGTAAGAACCTATTCTTTCCGTTTCTCAAGGGGAAGGGTGTAATTTTGATTTTTAGCCTAAACAACTCAGGTTTTTACACAGTTACCCTGTCCACGTCCGTACTAACTCTTAACCGTTTCCTGTCTAGCAGCTCCGGGAAACATCAGGCAGCTCCCTCAGCTTTAAGAGCGACCAGAACTTAAAGGTGATGTCTGAATTCTCCAATATTTCACGAAAACCAGCAGGGGCACAGATAAAGAAACCTCCAGTCCAGCTGGCCGGGTAAGGGCTGTGTGAGGGCGGGCTCAGCCGCCGCCATGAGGAGGGCCCGTGTGCGCCTGCGCGGCCCCGCCCTCGGTGCGGGCGGGCGCGGGAAGCGGCGCGGGCGGTGAGTGATTGAGTGAGTGGCGGCGCGGGCGGGCGGTAATGGGGCTCCTCATCCCCTTCTCCCGGGGCTCTTCCCGCTGGGAGCCGCCTCTCGGAGCGCTCTATCCCGCTGGAGGGCTCGGGAGAGTTGCCCGCGTGGTTACGGGCGCAGGTGGGCCCTCGGCGCGGTGTGAGCCAGCGGCGCGAGGTTGTGTTTCACCGGACCCCCCCCTGTCCTGCTCCCTGCGCCTTTCCCTGGAGCGGTGTTTGCTCGGGAAGGGCTGGGAAGCGGGATTGTTCGGGATACAGGCGGCCTGAGCGGTGCGTTGTCGCCGCTCTTTAGCCGTGAGGTACCGGGGAGTTTGTGTGGGAGCCTCCGCAGGGGTTTTGGGGTGGTTGATTTGGGTCGGGGATGCTCCCAGCGCAGCAGGGACGGCCGGGCCTGGCTCTGGGGCTGCGCTTCGCGTGTGAAACTCTGACTGTAAGGGAATAAAACTGGCGGGCTGACACCCCCTGAGGGGTCTGAACGAGCTGTTGGGTTTTTGTTACCCTCTCTCCCAGTTTTCGGTGTTTAAGCAGACAGAAGAAAGCCCCCAGCGCTGTACTTCGGGGTTTGCAGGTGTTCCCTATCCAGGCACAACTTTATGAACACCTGGCAGCTTTTCAGCCTGGAGAGAGCGGGAGTGTTGCCCTTGAATGAAGTCGGTACAGTGCAATGGGGAGGTTGATTTTTTTCACGTGTGCCAAACAAGGTAGATTACCCATATGAAGATAATCTGTGAATTGAACCGTGTTAATGGTTGCTGCTGTGAAATTGTCATACTGGGATATGTTTAACAAGCATTTACCTGGGAAAGCGCTACTTTTCACTCGCTTTCCCAGTTTAGTTCCATTCTGCATTTTTTTGGCTAAAATGTTTTTGTTTTAAAAAGTTTGTTTTCAAAACCGTGTGTGGCCGTTTGTAAACACACCCTCCCCAAACAAACAAAGCTCCAGTCCGCAACTGGATTCTAAATTAAACCTGATGAATTATCTTGTATTTAGAAGCTATTGAAGAGTCAGACAAGTTGTATGTTGGGTGAATAGTACTCTGTACCTTCCTTCTCTCCTGCTGAATATGTACATGTGCTAGTGTGGATACACACATACGGTTCTGATGGATGTTCATCTCAACTGTCCTTGCATCTGTTGCTCATTTTCTGGCTAATTTGTGTGTGAACTATAAAATACAGCTCTATTTTTTTTTTTTGGCAAGTATTACTGTTTTTCTAATAGTGGTTTGTGATCAGTTCACTAAAGAACTCTAAAGGTCTACATGTGAAATTATTTATAATAGTTGCAGAAAGGTGAAAAGTTTTAGGACCAGATTCAGTGTGCTTTTTGATGTGGAATATAACAGGTGCTTTCCTGTTTGCATATATTAACATTCAGGTGTTTCATGAAGGTGCAGAGGTGGTACCTTCACATTCTGGATAACACTTTGATGTTGTTGTCATGAGTGTTTTCTTCCTGAGCATGTGGAAGATCATTTTGGGAGAATCTGAAATGTTCTTCTTAAAGAATTCTGAAGAGACACACTTTGCTCTTGTAAACTGGAAACTACAGTAATCTTTTCTTATTTTTATAGGGCCACACAGTCATTGCTTTTCCTGCTGGATCCATCATGATAACTCCAGCTTTTGAACTGACCCAGGATCCGGATTTTCTCACAATAATAATCAAAGTACCTTATGCCAGAGCTTCAGAGTTTGATGTGTATTTTGAAGGGGAAGACTTTAAATTTTATGCTAAGCCATACTTTCTCAGGCAAGTAGTGAAAAAACTTCTAAAAATGTGAACTTCATAGTAGAAATTGAACTTAGTTTTGGTCCCTCCAGAGCATTCCTCATCTGCAGCTTTTACAATGTTGGACTTGCAGGCAGCCCTCTTCATGCAAAGATCTGTTATTTTGGATCTGGCCTCTTTGTTCTTAGGCATTAAATCACATTTAAAGAGAGTTGAAAGCAACTTTTCTAAATTTAACTTACAATATGTTTTTAATTGTAAGATGGCCAGACAGTTCTCTGGCTGTAGGTTTTGTAGAGCCTTTTCCTGGGAGGAATCCCTGGGGATTTAACTGTGTGGCTGCCATTACTACCAAAAGGAGTCACGTAGTTTAATCCTTTGTGCTGCTTTTGGAATGTGCCTTACATTTTTGTAGGCTGAGATGTTAAGCTGCCTCATTGAAAGCCTGACTAATTCTGCATCTCATTTCTTGCCCACAGATTGACACTTCCTGGGAGAATTGTAGAAGATGGCAGGGAAAAAGCATCCTATAATACAGATGAAGGTATTGGTTCATGTTATTGGTGTATATGTCTTTAAAAATGCTACCAACTCCAGTTATTTATACTTTAAAACAAAAAAAGCAATAAAGCTTAATAGTTTGTTGCTTGCAGAGTGTTTATTACATGCTTGACTTAAGACAATCAGATTGCTGAAGGAGTTTCTTATGATCTTCTGTGGCCTGTTTGATGGAAGGATTAAAAATAAAACAGAGCTTGTATTCTACTGTTGGTTTGTGTTTATACAATGTGAGTCAGGAGACCACAACTGGTTAAATATTCTCTTTGATGTTTTATCATTACAATCTTTGAATTTTGTGAAAGAAGGTTAAAAACACGCACAGAGATTGATGCATAATGAAATGCTACCAGTATGTGTCCCACTTCCTCTGAGCCTTTTAGATGAGAGGAAAAATGCAAATTTTTTTGTTTGTCTTAGATATTTTAAAGCAATAACTACGTTCTGCCTTTCTTTTAAGGAACTTTCACAATTCGGTTACCCAAGGAGGTTCCTGGCCAATATTTTGAGGGCCTGGACATGCTGACATCTCTTTTAGCACCAAAGAAATCAAGATCAGCAAAGCCCTTGGTAGAAGAGATAGGTATGACGAGAAAAATCGTGTTTATACTCATGATACATGTACATGATGAGACAGGTTTAGATCTGAAGTGATATATGTGGAAAAATACATTATTTGTATTACTGACCAGTCCCAGCTGTGAGAAGGGAATGAATAAATCAAAGTATGGATAAGTGTAGAAACAAGTATGTTGTGGACAATATACATGTCAGCTGTATAGGTTTAGTTATGTTGAAATTTGTCCAAAATGTGCTTAAAAATATGCTAATTCTCTGTAGATCTTTGTACCCCTCTAGTGGCTGCAGAACACACACACAGTGGAGTCTTCTGCTTTCTGCAAGCTACCACAGCTGGACTTTTAGCTCGATTAAAACCCCAGGTTCTGGTGGATGTCTTGCTTAACATCAGTATTTAACAGACAAAAATGTTTGACTATCTCTGTTTAAACTTTTAGCTCCTGTCTTAAATTATTGATAACATCGCTTCGCTTCTGTCAGGGTCCTCTTAACATCAAATTCTGACCTTGTTGAAATCAGTGGAACAACTATTTCGGTCTTTGAGGGGGTACACCTAAAAAATGTAGCATTTCCTGGTCTTCAGTCTTGAAAGTGGGAGAGTTGGAAGCAGAACCTGTGGGTCACTGAGCTGTATGACCCGGTGTTGTGTAAGAGTTCTTAAAAGATGCAGCAAAATAAGAAAGGCTTTTTGTCCTGCCAGTGTTTGCCTTTCTAGGAAATCATACATGTATCTTCTGTGCAATGATTTTCTTCCTCTGACCGTGCAATATGTGCAGCTGCCTCTGCTGAGCTGTCTGAGGAGGAGGAGGAAGAAGAATTTGACTGGGAAATAGAACAGACCCCTTATGAGGAAAGTTCAGAAAGCCCTCCACGACTGCAGCACCCGTATGGATTTGGCAATTTGCGGTCAGGGGTGTTCCAGAGGCTGCAGGTAGGTGCATTTTTGTCTCCTACTGTCATAAAAGTTCTGTTTAACTGGCTGTGTAGGCTCTCTGGCTCACGAGGCAACTTTTTTTAAGAGTGAACTCTTGAAGGTGTCTGTCCACCTGATGTGTGGGGTTCACAAGCATTGTGCTGAGGCATCTAAATTTGCTTTTCTGTGTTAATTGGTAGGATAGGAGACTTCAAATGCTGTTACTCTGCTCTTGTGCCTTCAGCAGTTTCTTTTAGTCGTGAATTGATTAAAAGTAATGTAAAACCCGAGTAGTATAACAGTATTTGTAGTCTACAGTGCTTTTATTAAGGTAGATGATAACTTTTTGTAGTGATGATTTTTTGTAGTGTTCTTGCTCTAAGCAACTTCAGCTGTAGCTGTTTAAAGCAACTTAATTATGTAACTCTAATTACTGCCTGAATTGTAGTATTTTCAGGTTTTGGAGCAGAAGGATTGCTATTTCTGGAGAAAGTATTTATGTTGTTAGAATATATATATATACTGGTTTACTCAGTGAAGAAATACATTTCCCATCAGCATTCAAGTACCACTACTTAATGATGTTTAAAAGGGCACTGCAGCTGTCAAGTAATGTACAGCCACTTCAGAGAGCAAGAGTAATCTCAAAAGTCACAAGAACAGTATCTGTGATTTTTACCTTGTCTTTGTTGTGGTTCTGTGCTTTTGTTAAATATTTCAAATTTTACAGCAATGCAAAATAACCTCCCTACCTTATGATAAAATGTCCTGAATAGACTTGATAATATCATGCATTCTAAGGAGCTTCAAATAATTGCATTTCCTTGGAATTTTGATGTTCCATTTGCACAGCGAAGGCAGAATTTGGAAGGTTGGAGATCTGGGGATTTCAGTCTAATGCTGATCCCTTCCTAAACTATTACCAAATCAATCTTACATGTCATACCAGTGGCTTGGTCCTGTAACTTCGACTCCGTTCGCAGGATGAGCTCAGTGATGTGATTGACATTAAGGATCCAGACCAGACTCCTGCAGGTGAACGAAGGAGGAAGCGCCTGGAAGCTGAGGCTGCCAAGTTTGAGCCTGATCATTACCTGTGAGTATTGACTGACTTCATCTGCTCAACCAGAGGCACCTCAGTGGAAAAACATTCACTTTGCCGTTCCATAAATTATTTGGTTTAAAGATCATGTCTGGAAAGAATAATTTCACTTCTCATTTGACTGTTCCTTTGTCTCATCAGGGCAGGCCCTGGAGGGTTTTCTGTGTGACACTGACACAAGACATTGCCCATCTGCTTTGGGGTTACTCAGCTGTTTAATTACTGCTTGAGTCTGTGCTCAAGTGGGGCTGCTGTGAACTCTTGCAGAGCATTGTTCCACAGTTCACCCCCTCAGCAGCTGAGCAGCCAATCCCTGCCAGCATTTTGGGTTGTAGATGTCAGAACTTTTGTTTTCCTCTTGTGAAACAAGCATTAATGAACCATCCTGGTCTGTGAGGAGGTAATTCGAGTTTTGAAGTGAGGAGTATTTTGTCTTGGCTGCTTTGTTTTTTGCTTTCACCTGAAAGCTGTTTTACAGCAGATTGAGGAAAAGTTCCAAATCAAAACTTTTTGTTTCTTTTGTGCTTCATTCCATTTAATGAACATGGAAGAAGTGGTTTTTCATGTTCTTTTCAGGTTGGAGTGTTTCAGGTCAAGTTAGTTTTAGAAGCTGTAAATAAAATAAGTTGAAGCTATGAGATCTATTAATATACATTGATTTCTGCAAGATGGGGTGGGAGAAGAGTTCAGTCCCCGGTAGGTAGAATGACTCCTGTGGTGTGTTTTGTGGGGATCAGGAAGGCTTTACCCAGTCTGAGTTTTTTCAGAAGGTGTCAGCCTCATGTCTTTCTGTATTACACAGAAAATACGAAGAGCTTTCTGGAAATATCACTTGGAAGTACATTTCACTAGAACTGAAGTAGTTCCTAACCTATAATGGGATGCAAATTACAGTAATTCTGAGTTTCCATTTTAGACTCCTGTGTTCTGGCCTGGTAGCTGAGTTACAGCATTTAGTTTAATGGCTGTGTTTTGGTTGCTTCAGAGAACAGATGATCCCAGCCTTCCTTCAAGAGAAGTTGTTTTCCCATGTACCCTGATTAAGAACAGAAGCTCTGGGAGAACTGGTGGCAAACAAGTGTTCTGGTGCCTTTGAGCAAAGTGTACACTGATATCTCTCAGTAACTTTACAATGACATTGAAGGAAGGCAACTAAAAAAATCTGTCAGTGTGAGAGTGAAGCAAAGGACATTCTGTGTTCAGTACACTGGGCGGGTTTTTGTGTGGTGATTAAGAAGATTTTAAGACATTTCCTCCAGTTGTTTTTTCAGTTCTCTGTATTTATACCATTGTTTGGGTCAAAGAAAAAGCTCAGATGGTAAGAGGAGGCTTAGAACTTGAGTCCTTTAGTGTAAATCCTCCCAGAATTGCTATATTGAGGTTTTTACCACAGTGCTGGGATGGATGTAATCTCTCTTCCAGAATTCATGTACAACTCTTCTTTTTCAGCTTTCCTGCCTCGTGTCCTTGTTTACCTAAAAGCCCATCCCTACTTTGTGGTTACCCTTCAGCTGCACACCCTTCCTCCCCACAGAATACCTAGTTCTTAAGTGGGAGACCCTCCCAGTAAAAATCAGGTGATTTGTGTGAGGAACCTTCTCTTTGGAATATTTTCCTTTTAATACATCCCGAACAAATCATGTGTGTTCACCCTTGTGTCACGCTGCAAGCTCACCAATTTCCCAGGATTCTGGGTGGCTCAGGGAAGGTGGAGGAAGTGAGGAAGGGATACTGCAAGAAAACAGAATGTAGTTTATGCTTTTAATAATGACTCTTTTCTGCTTATAAGTCAAAGAACATATTTCTAACGTGTGGAAAATAGCCCAGAGCCCAGTGAGGTGTATTTTATGTGTGCATTAATATATACCCACATGCACTATGAACTGAAATAAATAGCATATGACTTTTCTCTGTCTTTTCCCTAGAGCTGATTTTTTTGAAGATGAAGCTATTCAGCATGTTTTAAAGTACAAACCCTGGTGGGTTGATGCTCATAAAAAGATGACAGCCTTGCAGAGGGAAAGTCATCAGGAACATGACACTCATACATTTGGTGAGAATGTGCTTATAATATATATCTATACACACACCTGTTGCTTGAATGGTAATTGCTGTGATGCCATCTTATGTTCTAGGTTATTGTTCTTAAAGGAAGTTTATTACTTTACTATTATTTTTATGGGTCTCAGCCTTTTTCTGAAGGAAAATCGTGTCCTTTTAGTAACCTAAAGGGATGTTTTCAGGGTTAGTAGATGGCCTTGTAAGAGCAGTGTTAACAGATAACTGAGGTCACCTCCCTGCACACAGTGATTGCAGAGAGCACTGCAAGTTACTATTATGCAGATTCTTCTGTTGTCCTTTGCTCATTTCCTTTGTAGTATGAAAATCTGATATTGAAAGCAGATAATGATAATCCCTTCACCAGAGGTTCTTAGTGCACTAATAATACCTGCACTTTCACATTTTCTACAGGAGAAGAACAATGGAATTTGGGTAAATGTTGTGCATTTTACTGTGAATGTAATCTGATCTTCATTCCTGGTTTCTTTTCAGCCTGTGAAGCAAGAAATTGTTAATTATATCCATCATAAATATTTGATTTTAAAAGCATTGGACAAAGGTACAAAGAAGCTTGAAAACAGAATAATGAGGGGTTCTTTTGTTTGTTTTTTACCCATTCACTCCTTAGTAAATGAAACACTCTGACTGTTTGTCTGTGTTAAGGAATATCATTAAATTAAAGAGCTGCTGGATGATTTTATTGAGGAAGAATATTTTTTCTATGAATTGAGATAGGTATGCTTTTCTTCAGTATGTTTTTGGATTTTAGGGGCAGTAACAACAGGAAAAGTACTTGAGATCTTGGCAAACCTGCTAATGAAAATTACACGGAAAATGGGGCTGCATAAAACCATTTGTTTGTAAGAATGATTAAAAAAAATTGGTCTGACTTAGATATGATTGAGTGAAGAAATTCGTGTAGTTTTGTGGATCTTGAGGCAGTTCAAGTAACAAAAGAAGTGATGTGGTGGCTGGGTGGTGTTAATGGCAACAACCCACCCTTTCCCTTTGAAAGACCTCAGTTTTGGTAACATTTGTACTGTTTGAAGGGCAAGTGACTGAGACCAGTGGAGGCTCTTAAACCTGAGTGAGTTGTGGTGAGGGAAACCACCATGAGAGGGAGTGCAGGTTCCACTTGAAGGTCTGTGAATGGAAATACAAAAGGGCAGGAGGTGGGTCCAGGCTGTTCCCCCTGGAATCTGCTCATCAGCAGAGTGAGTTCCCTGGGGGGTTACGTTGCTTCGTCCAATCGAAGGATGGTCCAGCTCCTCTGAGTTACAGATCCAGGCATCCTTAGGAGCTGGGTGCAGTTTGACTGCACATCTGCATGACTGAGTGTCCCATCCTGCCTGGGGAGTGGAGGTGACACAGCAGGCACGTGAAAGGAGCAGGGCATGTGATGAGTGAAGGGCCTTCTTTACTGCTTGAGAAATGCCGTGTTGTTTCCACTAAAACTGAGCAGTCTGGCTGCACTAAGCCAGGCTGTGCTGGACAGGGAGAAGGAGGCTGTCACTGTACTGGAGTGTGCTCCTGGTGAGAGGCCTTTGAACACAAGTGCTTGGCTGTAAAAAGCCAGAGGGTACTCGAGCACAGAAGCTCTAAGGGCACAAACACTATCCCTGTTGCAGATTGTTCCAAGGTGTTGTATGATGTGTGGTGGTTCTTTGAGCCCGTGTTTGTCTTCGTCTTTGGCTGCAAGGAGTAATTAGGAATAGAGATGGCATTTTTTATGTTTTGCATGGCATTACAATTAACTGAAGATTTTCTTTGGTTGATTACTGCTCTTATATTCATCCCTGGTTATTTTCTCCCTGTTTTTACATCATCAGGTTTTTCTAATGTCTCATTACCAGATTTATTTTTTTTTTTCTTTTTGGATCATCTCTTCTCATTAACATTTAAAGTCTTTGTCTCTCTCTCCTGTCCTTACCTTGAATCTATTTTTATTTGACCTTTTTCTCCAGCTCGTGTGCATGGTGTGTGTCTTTTGCCTTTTTTTAATTTATTCTTTTTTGTCCTTAGTGTCTCTTCTTTCTTTGGTCCTTTCTTTACATTTTACTGTGTATCTTCTCTTCTGGCCCTTTTTGCTCACACTTAGTGTCTAATGCAAGTCAAGTAATACTCCATAAAGCCCAACTAATTACCCAGCCTTTCCCATGAGGGAATAAAACTTTTGGAAAGCTTTCTTTTTGCTGCTGCTGAAGTTTGCATCAGTGTCTCCTGCTTCTACAGATTCCAGATGAAAGGGTTTGTATTTTCCAACAGTCACATTCAGCTTGGTTAAAAGTTCATTTTTATTCTACTTCCAGTTGCACAACTGTAAAAACTCCTCTTTAGGCAACACAATAATCTTCAAAGGCTCAGGCTGACATATGTATTCAATCTAACATTTATATGCTCCAAGGATATCTCATTTTGTTCATGGTAACCAGTGACTGTTCTCTTTCTGATTTCTTTATAGAATGAGAAGCAATTTCCTTTCAAAGATCCACCTTTCAGTAGAGCTTGGCTCAAATATATACCATTACTGGTAGATTCATAAGTTTAAGATGAATCACTTTCCTTTTTTTTTATCAGATTGCTGCAATTGCTCTGTCTGCCACCTTTGCATCATGTCTGTGTTCCTGGCACTGCTCTGCTGCAGAGCAGGTATTTGTCATGTGAGGAGAGACTGCTTTTTATTCATGCAAAATCCTTAATGGTCCGTCTCATCTGCAAAGGACCTCAGATTTTAAAAAGCAAGAAGAGCAAGAAGAAAGAATGATGTATGGTTTTGATATGCTTTGCAGGAACTGTGTGTTTCTTAAAGAATAAAGAGAAAAATTAGTATCAGGAGATTGGGAGATCCAGGAAAGACTGTCCAAGTCCAGTGATTCTATGGAGAATGCCTGGAGGGAGAAGGTCAGAAGTGATGTGGAGGAAATGTGCTGTAAATGTTGATTCAAGAAGTGCAGGGAAGGAAAAACTAAAATTTTCATGGGAGAAAGGCAAAGGGATGAACAAAGCAGACTTGACTGATCACATTTAGTGGGAATATTGGTGTGCACAGGAGGACAACTTTGGGTTTTTAGAACTTCTAGTTCACTTCCTGTAGAACTGAGGCTTGTCTGATCACAAGTCTACCTGACAGAGCTTTAGGGGGTCTTAAAGATGGGCCCATCTGCAAGTTCTCCAAAAATGGCCCCTTGTAGAAGGGAAAGAGCTTTTCTTGAATAGTCAGTGCCCTGTTTTTAAATGTAGAGTCTGTACAGGAAAGAGAGGTTATCAGGATGTCAGCACTGTGGGAAGGTTCAGAAACCTCACATAAACCTCAGCAGGTCACAACAAATTCAAGCACAAGAGACAAATCAATAGAAAATCAGCTTCATTAGTTCAGTCACTTGTTTAAGTTTGTTATTATCAAGTATTTTCAGGGCAGTATCCAGCACAGGGGAAAATGCTGATCCTGCACAAAGCCTTTGGGCATCTTTCTAGGCAGAGTAGCACTGCCTTTTATCTCTTAATGGCTTAGGAAGAGCTTGAAAAGAGCCTTGTTTGCTGCTGATTAATATCAATAACTAACTTTATTCCTGACTAATCCTCTCTCTGCTGACTAATCTCCTCCTTTATCTGCTGCTGCTGATTCCTTAACCTACAGGGATAGAAGTACACGTTTAAAAACCTTCATGTGGTAAAATAATATTTTAGTTCAAAAAATAAAAAGGGAGGGATCAGTTCTCAGTTCTTTGAGAGAGCTGTGGGATTCAAGGCTTGGCTTGACAGGACCCTAAGCCAAGGCTCTGCTCTCACCAGAACACAGCTGGTTATCAGAGGTCCTTCCTGACCTGTACCGTCCTGATCTGACCACTGAGTCAGCTCTCTGTGCAGATATAGCACATTTTATCTAAGTGCCCCTAACACATTTAGAGCTGCAAGTGTCATAGTGGTCTGGAGATACGGATCTTACAGTGATTTAAGTGGTGTTATCGCAGCGTAAAACACCAGTAAGGCTGTAACAAAACACCCCTCCGGCTGTCAGACCTCATCCTCCCCTCAGGGATTAAACCGTGCCTCATTGACACTCAGGTTCTGAAGGGCAGTTTGAAATATCTTTGTTTTAACATGAGGAATGGCCAGTTTAAAGTACGTGAGAGAGATGATTAAGGTGTAAAGGTAGTCTCTGCAGGACTATCTGTCAGTAACTTTGTGAGGTGAATTTGTCTTTGAGTCCTTTACACTTGCATACATTAGCAGTTTCACTGTGGCTAGGAGGGTGGTTTTGCCACTGACAAATGTGCAAAGCAATGCAAAGTCAAAGTTACAGAAAACTTGCAAATTCAGTACTTGATAAGTACCAGCAGCTTCTGCTTTGCATCAGATTAATATTAATTGTTGTACAGACTGTTAACTAAAACGTTGGTAATGCAAGTGTACAGAAGTGCACAGGCTTAACACAGCAGACAGTGCAATTGCAAGTTTACTTGTTAATCTTACTCTGTATACTTGGCTTTTGAACTGGGAAAACAAAGTAGGCGGTGGTTTTGATGTGTTAATAATGAGCTTCAGGCCTGGATAATTCGCTGTTCAAAAACTCTGAGGAACGGATAGATATTTATTTGTAGCGTTATTTTCTCCAGAGAGGGATTTTATTTAGAACACCTGGCATTTGGCAGCGAGTTAATGAACATCATGTAACACTTACCTTTGGGAATTGTCTGCTCTACGTCTTGTTTCCTGTTGTTTAGTAAACCTGGAATTTCTGTATTTATGGTCCAGTTGGAGATGTTATGATGCTTCAGAGTTTGCATTTTAGAGGAAGAAAACTTTACTCCTGTGTTTCCTGAACTTCACTTGCAATTTCTTTGCTGTCTGCTTAAAACGGAAATAGGGTTCACATTTACATTGAAGCATCAATTTACAAAGAAATTTACTGATAGATTATAGATACATCACCTGTATTAGTGATATAAGGGGTAATACAGAGTGGACAGAAAAACAGAGTTAGAACTGCCACAGTCTTACTAAATTGTCATGTTTTTCTGGATCTTAGCAAGTGGAAGAGATTGGCTTTTTCTTTCATTTCTCCCACACAAGGTGGACTTAAACTTCATCTTACTCAGCTTCTGATTGTGCATCCAGGCAGAAATCCTTGGCACTTGCAGAGGTTCAGAATCATCAGTGTGTACATGCAGTAGACTGCAGGGCTGGAGCTTGACATTGAAAGGAATATATCAGAGTTTAATAAAAGTTAAAATGAAAGTAAGAATGATTTAGGTTTCTGCTTGAGTGATGAGTGACTTGTGATTAGTTACATGCTCCTTTTTAAAGAGACTGTTGAAGTAGTATTACCACCTATTAAAATGAATGTGCCAGCTTTAAATTCATAATCAATTATCCTTTTACTTTTTATAGTTGTCTTCTCTGAGGATGAGAGAGAGCAGCTGAGGAAGTTCACAAATAAATCTTACCTTCTGGATAAAAGGAGCCGTCATCATGTATATCTTGGATTAATTGATATCCTCCTGGCATATTGCTATGAGATCTGTGTCAATGAGGGGGACAAGAATGTAAGTTAGAAAAAATAAAAATATAATCTGTGTTAGGAACTTAGTGCTGCACCCTGTACTGCCATTTAGGAAACTTATTTTTTTAAAGTGGACTCACTTCCAAGCATTAAAAATATATGATTGACTTAAAATTAAGGACTTTGTATCTAGAGATACAAAGTATCTATTGGGAAGCATGTGGGGATTAATGGGATTTCAAAATACTTGTGTTCTTCTGCAACAGCATTTTAGTAGGAGAGATGTGGGATTGCAGGAGATTCCAGACAATTCTGTTTGTTTCTGATTTGTGCTGTGATGTGTCTTGATTTATGTAAATGGAAATTTAACAAAATAATCATTCTTTTTTGTTCTGTGCTGTTATGGGGATAATTTGCCCTTTTGGGAATGGACTTGTATCCCAAGTACAGCTTTGAGCCTTGAATCACCTCTGCTGCTATTGAACAATGAGGTGTTTTCTGAATGCTTTTAATCAAAATATTGAGTTGTGTAATCAAAATTCTGTTCTGTCTTAATCAGACTGGCTTGGAGGGCATGGATTGTAGAAGGAGAAGCAGAAATGCCCAGACCTCTTTATTCAACAGAATAATCTGGGATTGTTGTTTTGTGTGTTAGTGCTGCACAAAGTTGCAAATCTGGTAGGAACACAATTGTACAATTGGTTATTTGGTTTGCAGTGAGTGTATGGGATATGTAGAAAACACACTGTGGGTTTTGTCCTTTTTTTCCCCTCCTTTTTTTTTTTTTCTCCTTTATTCCTATTTAATAGGAAAACCAAGACATTCAGGCCACACAAATCTTTTACTAGAGCCAGGATTACAGATCAAGACTTTCTGGCTTTTTGCCCTAATCATCCCACTAGACCACACTACCACACAAATACTGTGAATCTGTCACATTTTAAGAATAATGACACTTTACATGCACTGCTGGCTTTGGGACCCTCTCCCAAAGCCAAAAGTCTTGAGCTGTTTTCACGAAACAAGGCAGTTGAGCTTGGCTTTTGTTGATTCAAGTTTCTGTTGCTTTGTGCAGAGGGACAGAATTCCACTAAAATGCTATTTTTCTGTGCATTGCTGTTGTATTTCAAAGACTTTGTTCATGGGTTCAATATTCCCACTATGAAAACCAACATCTGCATTGCAATATAATTTTTAATGCTGTCCTGTGGCCATTTCAATGCACATAATATAATTACTGCTGCTTATTCACAAAGGTTCTTCAGTTGCTGCCAGAATGTTAGCTTAAATAGTTTGCCAGCAGTCTTGAGTGTGGGATTAGATAACACTTATTTTACTGTCTTCTCTTAAAATTAGGTTGAATCATCTTGGAACATCAGGAAACTGAGTGCAACGTTGTGCTGGCTGGAGGTGAGGCAAAAATAAAGTTCTGTATTGTGTGGGTTTGCTGTATGTTGGGGTTTTATGGGTGTTGTGTGTTGCTTTTGGGCAAAGTTCACTCTTTCAGTACTGAAGATGAATTAAGTGTATGTTCCTGTCTTTAGTGTTCCTGGGAATGACTTCTGGGCTCTGTGGTAGTGTTGCTTTACCTGCCCCTGTCTTTTCAGCCTTATTTATAGAATCATAAAGTTTGGGAAAGACCTTTTTAAGATCATCAGGTCCCACCATCATCCCAACACCACCCCCTTGGTCACTGTTAAACCATGTCCAGGTGCCACATCCCTGTTTGTTTGGTTGCTGCTCCCCCTTTGAAGCCAACAGAGATTAGAGGAAACACTGAATTCTGTTCTTTCCCCATTCCCATTGTTCACTGAGTGCACTCAGACCTGTGTAAAGAAGTTGCTGAAGAGCTGGAAGTGGAAAGGACTTCACCTGGCCTGTAATGCATTAACTGTCATGATGCAGCAAGCTGGGAAGGACTGTCCCACTCCCATGCCTGAAATTACTGAGCCAAGGCTCAGTTTGCAGGATCAAACCTCAAATTTGACAGGACTTTTGGGTTCATCCTTTAAGCTTTTCTAGTGGTGGTCAATGTTATACTCACTAATAACTTATTCTGACAACAGGTCTTCTAGATCTTTTATTATTAATTCTGCAGTAGCAGGTCACAAAAGAGTGCAGTTAAAATGCACTGATTGCCTCAATTCCTGATTTATCTTTTTCAGATCCACGTCCTAACATAGTAAAGGGGTTTTCTGCATGTCCTTATGATATAGCAGTTCTTGGTGCAGCCTGTGCCAACAGTATATTTCATGCTCAGAAAATTCAGTCTCCTGGCACCAAGCTGTTAATAACTATCTCTGTTATACAAACCATGTAGGGTGGGTGTTTTCATCATCCTGTAAACAAAATTGCCTGAGCTCTGGTTTGTTTGAACTGGCTGCCATTTTGCTGGGCATGACATGTACACACACCTTAGCCTTTAAATATTAAATCACAAACCATAAATGATTTAAATGCTTGCTGGTCATCCATTAAAACGAAAAATGGGTTGAGGTAGTCACAGTGCAGAGAAGTGCTGGCTGTCAGCAAAGTGTTTTTATTAATTTTAATAAATTGAGGGTTCAAGGTGAAATAGGTATTTTGATTTGAATTCATAAATGGAGTATTTTGTCCTGAAAAGTGAAAGCTGGGAAGAAATTCCCTCTTTTAAGAAAGTCTTTAATACCACCTTAATGCCTCTTGCCTGAGTAAATTTGAGGTCTTCCTCACTCATAAAGGAGGACAAGGAACTGCTCTCCCCAGGCAGGTATATTTATCCTTGTCTTGAATATCTATAATTTTCATGGAAGGCAAGAGTCATGTATCATTTCTAAAGATCTCATATGTACACATGTATTTGGTTAATATCATGTGGATTTAATTTTTCTTTATTTTTAAAAGGCTTTTTATAGCTTCTCCTTAATATATATAATAACGTGGGACAGATGTAATTTATTGCTTTAATCTAAAGGATGGCAGAGTCTCGAGTTAGATGTTTGATTCTGATGTTCTCTACGTTCTCTTTTTAATCCAAACCCACTAAAATGTACAGGATTTGTTATCCTGCCACGCAAACCAAATGTGCAGTGTCTTCTTTCTGTTTAACATGTTGATTTCCATATCTATTCAAATACAGCTTTTTAGAGGCATAATATATAAAATGTACTTTTTTTCCCCCCCCTCCTCTTGTGCTATGACTTTTTTCCTTAAAGGAAAAAAACCAAGCACAAAAATCTTAATTCTTATTTTTCGCTGCTACACACAGAGCTTCTCTTGCATCCACGATGTGCTGGTGTCTTTTGGAAGAAGAGTGCTGTGCTATCCCCTGTACAGGCATTTTGGGTTAGTGACACGTGCCCTCAGTGACACAGCCATGATACTGCAATTAGGTGAGTGGTTTAGGGGGTTTGTTTATTAAAGTTACTTGCAACTTTTCTATTTATCATGAGTTACTACTTTAAAAAAACAAAAACAAACATTCAGGGTTAAGATGAATTTGTTTGGACAGAAGAATCACTGAGAAGCAGCTCTTCACTGGTTTATTTTCAATTGCAGGATTAAAAACCCACACAAATGACAATATTAATCTCTACCACTGCCAAAAACTATGGATTCAAAATACTATTTACATTATAGCAATCGGGTAGTGAAGTTTTAAGGTGAAGATGGACGGTGTCCTTCTTCACTTACCTCCACTGGCTTATGTTGCTCTTCATACACGTGAAAAAAATAAAATTCTGGTAACAAATCTGCAGTGATACAATGCTGTCAGCCTTCTGGATTATTTCTTTTTTCTAAGGAGGACAGTGCATGAGAGGCTAAGAGGGTGGGCAGGCCCTGGCACAGGCTGCCCAGAGAAGCTGTGGCTGCCCCAGCCCTGGAATTGTCCAAGGCCAGGTTGGAGCAACCTGGGCTGGTGGAAGGTGTCCCTGCCCATGGCAGGGAGTGGAACTGGGTGGTCTTTAAGGTCCTTTCCAACTCAAACCATTCTGTGATTCTGCTTCATGTGGACATAAATCCATTGGGAATGGCATGGGCAGCGTAGTGATGAAAGTAGATTCATGTAGATCCAAGGACTGCTTGGTTCAAATTGACCTCTCCTGATTTCAGATTTCTTTCAGGATGCTGTTGACAGAAGCTGGGACATGGTATAATGCAATGTTTCACAAGTAATAAACACAGTAAACTAATGTATTTTAAAATACTGAAGAATTCTGATGGCACTGAATGCCTCAAGTTATGTTACTTGACTTTAAAAATATTAGTCCTGTGTTGATGGATCACTTCCAAGATACAGGATACTGCATTTTTAAGCTATTAAGGATCCTAGTATGTGGTTGAAACATTTTATTTTGCATTAAGACTTTGTGCCAAAGTCTTAATTGTAAGACAAATGCATTGAGCTGATTAATGTTGAGGTTCTCAGCAGATTTCTTCATATGCTGTTGGAGTGATCTGTAGTACTTAAAATACTTCACAAAACTGTTCAAAATCAATATTGGCTGTATTTATCTGTTCTTTGGGTAGGGTTGAAAAGGGAATGAAATGCAGTGGTAAATCCATGACCCTGCCAGAGCAGGGAGGTTGGACCAGGTGACCCATTGTGGTGCCTTCCAACCTGAACCATCCTCTGATTCTGTGATTCTGAAGTTGTCCTCTATGAGCTGGTAATAAAAACTCATTTGGGCTCTTTTTTGCTACATAAAATGTCCTTGGCTTCTTTTCATGAAGAATCTAACACTAATATATTTACAATTCTGCAGTTACCCATTAAAAACAGATAGTACTATTGCCTAACTGGGTAAGTTATTACCAGGATGTTTCAATTTAAAAGTCTGTGATAGCTCTTGTGTTTAAAAATCCTGTTGTTCTCTCTTTTAAAGGATACAGTAAAGTTCAGTTTATCTTCTTAGATGAATGCTCCTTCCTGAAAATGTGGAAAAATGTACAGAAGTCTTCAGGAAAAATAATGTAAAATAGAAATGGGTGACTTTAAATTTCCTTTGCTTCCAAATACACAATATGAAAGGTGATAGAATTCATGATGTAGAATCAGTACAATTTGTTATATCAAATGGCAGAGACAGATCTTGGGTCAAATTACATCCTTTTTTTTTTTGAAATAGTCTGTGAAAAGAGGACTGGATTTCTGAAAATGTAGAATTCAAGTTGCAGGCTGTGGTGTAGCAGCTCCCATGGCAAGGAACTCCAGAACAACCCAGCGATCTGCAGACGATTGCTCTGAATTTTGTGTTACACGTGTTGGGATCTTTTTATTTGTGATCAGTACAATGCAGAGCTGTGACTTCACACAGGAGAGATGCAAGAGCCGTGTTAGATCATACGGACTCACGCCCTAAAAGCAGACTTTGGTGCTTTGCTGTGCTCCGTATTTGCCTGACTCAGGATTCCCTACTCCCTGTCTGGCAAGATTTGCAGCCTCTCTAATTAGAGACCCATTAAGCTCCCGGAATCCAAAACTTTTAATTTATGAAGAAAGACTTTTTAATTGAGAATTAGTGCGATATTCTCGGCTGTGCGTTGTCGCTTGGCAGATGAGGAGCAGCAGTGGATGCTGAAAATGCTTTGGGCTGACAGTTTGACAGCTGGAACCTGAGAAAATTAGCAAGATTTTAATTCCACATATCATTTCTTTTTAAAAGAGCTCACTTCTTTTTAGTCAAAATACTGAAGTTTGACAAGCTTGGCTTGACAAGCATCGATGGGGATGCAGTCTAAAAGTTATCAGTTATATTTGGGATTTTGTTTTCTTACCTGACTTCTTCAGTAGGTTTTCCAAAACCAGTGGGTTTTTGAATTCTTTGCCATGGCTTATTACTCTTTGTTCTTTCTCCTTCTTTCCACCTTCCTCGTGCTTTAACTTTCACACTCTGTCTCTATTTTTGCAGCGTGGAATTACAAACAAACAAACAAATGTTGTGCTTGAACAGCAGGGGGAGTTCTGATCTTTTTTTTTTTCCTTTTTTTTTTTCTCCTTTTTTTTTTTCCCCTCCTCTTCTAAATCTGTAAAATGTAATTTCATCCCTGTTCAGGTTTCATAGCCTAGGAGGAGCCAGCCTCTTGGGAGAGGGTTATTAGATTCCATTTGCAGTAGTGGCTGTTTTCATTTGAATATGGTGGTTTTTTCCCCATTAAGCAGCGAAAATAATTTTAAGTGTTCCAGCACTTAACCCTTTAGCAACTGTAACCAGCAAACTGAGGGAGGATATTCCAGCTAATTGGATTGTTGCATATGAAGGAAAAATCAAACTGACAACAGAAAGTTTTCTGGTTGTGGAATGAGAAATCATTTACATTTTTAATCCTTTACTGCATTTATTATCTGTGTATCAAACAGGCCCCTTACTGAGCCCTGGGGAGGGAGTTTTTCTTTCATTTTGTCAAATTATTCAGTAACTAGTCAGAAGCAGGAAAAGTTTTCCCTAATTTCAGGCCCTGGTGAGCTGTTGGGCAGTGACATCATTACACTGCCTCACACAGTTCCATGTGCTTGACCCTGCTGAGGGCTGTCTTCCCAACCTTGCTATTTTCCAGCACAGGTATTTGTGGAAGCATCAAGGGAAATGTGTTTTGCTCCAGAGAAATGATGGGGCATAACTCTTTGTTATCTGTGAGTTACTTTTCTGTTTAGTTCTTTTTTTTTTTTTTTTTTGGTTAAAATACTCTGCACTCTCTGCCTGTCACAAAGTTTGGGACAGCACAGCTCGGAGAAGTGGCAAAGCTGGGGGAAGGGGCTCCTTCAGCTGTGGGGAATTACATGCATGGCTGTGCCTTGAGGCTTTAGTCTTGCAGAGAGATTCCCACTGAATTCAGAGGCTCCACACCCAGAGGGATGTGGATACCAAAGGACAGTTACACTGCTGCTGTTCTGAGCCTGAGAAGATGATAAATACCATCTGTCAAGATTCCTAGCGATGTTACCAATCCAAAAATCTGTTTGCAGGAAAAGCTGCAGTTTTGAAGTGTCTGCTGGACATCCACAAGATTTTCAGGGAGAGTGACCCTGCCTACATCCTCAACGATCTCTTCATTACAGACTATTGCATCTGGATTCAGAAAATCAAGTAAGTTCCTCAGTAGTTATTGGTGTGGGTAATGTTTTTAGCATACTTCACCTATGAACAAGTATCAGCAAAGTAAAAAGAAATTCTGTCCCCTCTACATGGAAATATGATCACTCTTTTTCATTTAGTTGCTGTGTCTGTCCAGTTATTCTTGTGGAGGTATTCGGTGCATTATTTAATGTAGTGACATGACTGGAGAAAGGAGGGAGGAATTGCATTTTAAATAAAAATGTGAGTTTTCATTAATCTATTAATAGGGTTTTTTTGGGGGGAAAACCAGCTTCTGGGGAATTTTCATTCTATTGCAATCTCTCAGGAAGAAAAAAGCTTAAATATCACTTACATAACTTCAGGGTAAAGGTAAGAAATAACTTCTGGTTCAGAATTGAATTGACAGCACAGGCAGACCATTGACAGCTGTGAGAAACATTGATTTATGGGCTGTAGCAGTTGTAGCAATTGATTATCAACACCAGAGTAAGTGTCACAAATCTCCATGCACTGTGTGCTCCTGCCCCTGGAGCTGTTTGCCAGCTCCCTCTCCCTGACAATGGGCTTTGGCTTCCACTTCACTTGAGAGGAAACAGTGACTCTGCCACTTCCAGACAAAGTCCCTGCACTTCAGCACTTCTGTGCCTCACCTGTGTTCTTTCAACAGAGTCAGCATGGCTTATTTCCAGAGTTTTGGGAAGTTTGTAGCCAGGCTGGTTACAATATCAGCATGTTTTAATGGCTTAAAACCAAAAGTGTCGGTAGGAAAACAGTGGGAAGTGGATTAAATGATTAAAGCAAGCTGCATGTTCAAATCTTACTAAGCTTTATATTGTTCTTGTCAGATTTATTCTGTTTTTCCATGCAGCTTTTGTATTTTCTTCCTTCCTTTTTATGTCTTCACAGCCTTCTCTGAAGGGCCACAAAAGAAGGTGTGAGTTGGAATAGGCATTGCTGATGTAAACAGAAAAAAAATGCCATTTTCATGCTGGTTAATGTAGCAAAATAGAGACTCATAAAACTGGTTAAAATTATTTTTTGCTTTCACAATTTAACAAGAGAGTGTGGGAGAAAAATAACTTCAGTGCACAAGACACAAGGAGCAGTGAGGGGATATAGAGGGAAATGGGTAATAATTATGATGAGAAGGGGGAATGTGACAGAGAATTGAGCCAGCCTGCACGGGCTATAGGTTTGGGTGTGACCTTATCAGAACTTCTTGGAGAATTAAAGACCCTCGGGTGATAGCTGTTTGTTATGTGTGGTACATGATGTTGATTCTTATTCTCCTCTGTGTGCTTTCAGTGGTTGTGTTGCTATAAATAGCAATGAACAAAACACTCTAAAGCAACTACAGGTGTTTCCAAACATTCTGATTCATCAATCCTCATTAATTCCAGGAACAGCCAGTTCATTTTACACTGTCATATTTGAGGAGGGCTTTTTTTTTTTTGTCACACCTTAAATGTGTGGGAAGTTCCCCAGTTATGGGGAAATTCATGTTCAGGTTGAAGTTGAGATGAAAAAGTGCGGTAAATAAAGAAGGAGAAAGTTATTTCATGGATCTTTCACAAAGAAATGAGTCATAAGACAGTAATATCACTGCTGCCCATATCAATGAATATAATGTCGAGCAAGTCAGTCATAAAACCCAGGGTTTTCTTTAAATCCAGCCCAGGGAAATGCACAGTAGCTATAAGTGACTGATAGATTAACACGTTTCCTCCCAGACTCTCACATTATGTCCCAGTTAAGCAGAACTGACAGCTGCTGGAAAGAGGGCAATTAAGCTCTCTTATTGTCAGAGTGACAGGGCACAATAGCTGTCTGTCATTAGGAGAGCGGGAGAAAGAGGAACCGCAGAAACCATCCCTATTTTTAGGTCTGAATCAGGACAGCATTTAAGCATATGCTGAAGTCATTCCTGTTCAGTTTAGCAGTGAAACATGTGTTTTAAGTTCAGCATGTGCAAAGTGAATGGGAACACTTTGTTATATTCCTTTATGTTGAAGGGAAGCACGAAGTTCACTTGTCATTCAGAAAATACCTTGACAGATGCCGAAATGGGCGACCAGTTGTCTGTTCAGGACAAGAGTTCCCAGCTCCCCAGGGTGAGGCATCTGGAGAGGAGGGTGGTGCATCTCCCAGGGGAAGAAGGTTATGACATCCCTCTGGAGACTCCCTCTGAAGTACTGGCACAGGTTGCCCAGAGAAGCTGTGGCTGCCCCAGCCCTGGAAGTGTCCAAGGCCAGGTTGGAGCAGCCTGGGCTGGTGGAAGGTGTCCCTGTCCGTGGCAGGGTTTGGAACTGGATGATCTTTAAGGTCCCTTCCAACCCAAACCCCATTCTATGATTCTATAATTGCCTTTGTGGTGAGAGAGTTCTGTGAGGGGAAGGTATTCATAGGTATTTTTGTGATGGTCTTCCAGTATAGTTATTTTCATCTCCAGTGGGTCTGGATACTTTTCTGTTTTGTTTCTTGGCTGTTCTTTGCTCCGTGGAAGCTTCGTTAACATTCTTTGTCTCCATTTCCTCCTGTCTTTTCATAACTGAGAGTGCTCTTAAAATCCATGGAGGATTTTCTTTTCTTCCCCTCTTTCCCTGGTATTTAACCAAGTCCTGGTTTAGGTTGGGGCTTCTTTTTTCTTTTATAAATAGTCACAACAGACTGTAGGTTCTTTTGAATGAAGAATTTGGTCACTTTAAAAACAGCTGGAAGCAAACTTTTTAGCTCACCTGTGCTGGCAGAGAAGAGTCTGGGAGATGCAGGTTTAGGAAAAAAGCTTGGCACAGGCAAAACTGTAGTGGATGCATCCAGTGGCAGTAAGCACACAGTCCCATTCCAGATGAAGGGGAACTCCCCTGGTAGGTGCCAGCTTTTAAATATTCCATGTGGAAACAAAAACCTTATGGCCAGCAGTGTGTCAATGGCTGATTACAAATTTGGTTTGAGATCATGGTTTGGCTGTGGGGAAATGAGATGAATAAGTGAATGTGTCACTGAACTGGCAAGAGCTGATTTATTTTAAGCACAGTGTATCTGGAATTGGAAATGATTAAGCTGCTGAATAAAACACATGCAGGTGGCTAATAGTCAGTTGGGTATGGGGAGAACAAACCAGGTCTTTAATGCTAAGGATTTTATTTTCTTTTTTAGCAAAAATTGTTTTAATCAGGTGCCTGGTACTAAGAGAAAAATGGATTCCCGAATGTCTTAGACAATCAAGATATTAGCTAAAATTTTGCCTTCCTGTTTGCCCTCTTAAAGCTAGTTTTACCTGCTTTCTAGGTTTCTAGTATTTCTCTTTAAGCTGCTTGTGAGGTGACTATTAATAATTTCAACTACTGTATGAACTGGCATGTAAATCCTGTTAACTGTTACTAGGCTTTGGAGGAAGGGAGCATGTTGCTCAGCAAAATTCACCAGAAAAGAGGGAAAAGTAAATGTTAACCTGGATAACAAAGGCTCAACAAAGACCTATGGAGGCAGCTTGTGGTAAATCTCGGCAGGTGGTGTCAACATTTCTGTTGAAAAGCCAGATGCAGCCAGATGGAAAATTGCATCTTTAACCCCTGAGGTCATAATGACATGTCATCACTTCATTTGATCCCCCTGCTAAGTGAGCTTATCATCCACCCTGCTGTCACTTCTGTTATGGCTTTCATTTCCATAATAAAATTAAATTTAATTTGTCTGCTTTGCATGCCTTTGTTCTTTAGGTCGGAGCTTTTACAAGCCATTCTGATACATGTGGCAGCCTCTGAGGTGAAGTTGTATCTGAATTTGTATTGTAAATCTGAGGTTTTCTCTGTCTTCCACACCTTCCTTTGAGCAGGAGGAGATGAGGGAGAGGAGAAGGAGTTTTGGGGAAACCTCTGGTTGGTTGACAGCTGCAGTAAGGGCTGCTGAGACCCAGGGAATCCAAGTGTGGGCTTGTTGCAGGAGAGCTTTCTCTCCCTCTGGAGAGGAGTTCTGTGAGCCCACAGGAGTTGTCCTTCACAGAAGTCAGAATAGTTTACCCACTGCCTCTTGCTGTGCTGAGGTTCCTTTGTGTGGCCTGATGTCTTTCTCCAGTGTTTTGTGTTCCCCTTTGTGCCAGGCTCTATTCACACTGGGTTTTGGCCACTGTTGTTCGTGTGTGCCTGCTGGCCATGACATGGCTGGAGGGCTGAACAGTTCCTATGAGTCCTTGTCCAGGCAGGCAGGAAGTCCGTGCCATTCTGCAGCCCTGCCTGAGAGGAAGAACTTGAGCCCACGTCAGTTTAAAATACTTTTACCTACTATTTGCATGCATGTCTAGTTTTAAACAGTTATCACTTTAGTGTCAGTAAATGAGCATATTCTGTATTCCTGAAATGGAGGTGAAGTTCTGAGTGTTCCTGGCGGTTTTCCAGGGATTGGTACACTTAGTACAGAATGACAGAATGGTTTGGGTTGGAAAGGGCTTTAAAGATTATCTTGTTCCACCCCCCTTCCATTAGACCAGGTTGCTCAGAGCCCCATCCAGCCTTGACTGTTGTATAGTTGGGATTAATCTGCTCAAAGTTTTGTGGGTATGAGACACGCAGGAGCATAAGGTACATTTTTCATTACCACTATTTTTCTACTTTTTAATTTACCACCTGACCTTTTGTTCATGTTCTGTTGCAAGAAGAAATATTATTAAATGACTGTTTGTGTATTGTAGTAGCTTCAACTTGTGCAGTGAAGGAGATCTGTGTGTTAAGACAAATAAGCTGTTAAATTGCCTTGGTGTGTTCTCTGGAAATGTATCTTCAACTTGCTTTGTTATCCTTCACAAATATGTGCTCCCCAACCTGAGACAAATGTAACATTGCTAATTTTGGTGCCTGTAGGTGTAACATGCCAGTTTGAGCATGGATTCTTTGATTTTTTTTAAAGTTTGGAAAAAAACCCAGGGTTCCTGGTGGCATTTATACAATCTCTGCAGAAGCTGCTGTCTTTATTGGAACTAACTGAATTAAAGCTAAGCCAGATATTCCTGAGCTGTCCTTGCTTCTCCCTGGTTTGCAGGTGAGACATATCCTGAAAGGCAGGTCGGCCTCATGGGCCTGCTTTCCTTTTCATCTCTTCGTTAGAATCGAAACCTAGTCCTTGTTACAGCATAATTACCTGGTCTGAAGCCAGCAGGGAGTTGCTGCTTTACTTTAGGATGGGGATTTCTCTAAATAAATGTAGGATTAATTACATTCCCAGCATGTCATGGAGGTGAAGAGATTGACTCTGATCATTCAGCCAACCCCTCTTCTTTTCCCCAGGTTTTCTGAATCACTTGTTTAATCAATACAGTGTAGTCTTGGCCTGAATTGTTAAGGCCTGATGTTGCAAAGGCATTAAGAAGCCCAAGTCTTTCAGAAAAAAATATAAGATTTGTGAGATTTAGGATGTTTTGCTGCCTGTGTCACATCAGATCAGAAAGGGCACAAAAGGGAGTAAGGAACTCAACCTGTGGCATTGCCACATTACCTCAGGCTCTTGCTAGGTTTGGGAAAATGTTTTGAAATGTGTAACATCTTTAAGTAGCCAGATGTTATGATCTTTGGATGAATTTAAATAGAATTTCAACATGCATTCCAATGGTATGTTACAGTAATTTGTGAAATGGATCATCTACCTGCAAACGTAGGAAATTGGATCCAGTTATGATTTGCTCAAATCTGGAGAACTTTGAAAAATGCTTCGAAGTATGTAGAAACTGTTTGGATTGTGCCATTTTTGCAGCTGTTTCTCCCTGACAGTTTTGTTTTCTTTAGGGGTTTAGGGTTCTGTAAAGCTCAAAATACTTGAAAAGACAAAACCCAGGCTTTGAAGAGACTTCTGTTTTTCCTTTTTTGCTGATTGTGGGGTTGATATTTACAGAATCATAGAATGGTTTGGGTTGGAAGGGACCTTAAAGATCATCCATTGCCACCCCCTGCCATGGGCAGGGACACCTTCCACCAGCCCAGGTTGCTCCAAGCCCTGTCCAACCTGGCCTTGGACACTTCCAGGGATGGGGCAGCCACAGCTTCTCTGGGCAACCTGTGCCAGGGCCTCCCCACCCTCACAGGGAAGAATTTCTTCCTAATATCTAATCTAAACCTGCCCATTTTAATGAAATCCTCTTCCCTCTTTGTGGCATTTTCATGTTCCTAGGAAGGAATTAACTGTAACTTCTGAAAGTCAGGAGCGTCCTGCTAAATGAGGGGTGAACAGAGTAACTCTTGTGAACTGTGCAACTCTCCTGTGAAAATACTAAGTTCAGACAGGAGGATTCGGGAACAAAACTGTCCTAAAAGGCTTTGAAATGGTGCCCCACTAATGTTAGTTTATTAAATTTTTGATTTGTGATGGGGGGAAGAGGGAATGTGTTAACACATAATAAAGAGGAATCAGTGCTTTAAAGCATTCTCAAATGTTAGGGGAATATGCTAATTTTCAGCTGTTAACCTCTTGGATTCAGCAGCCGTGATTGAAAAGAACAAAGGCATAAGCAGTAATATATTCTGGATGAAAATCCTGCCTCTTGGCTCTGTGGGATTAATCTGATTTGTACAGCATGTTTAATGCACTTCACACAGTGGAGTCCTGAGGAAAAATGCACCTCAGAGTGTTGCATTTCCTGTGCCTTGCAGTCCCGTGGTCAGCTCTTCTCTGCTTTGACTGGCATTGCACTTTGACTTTACCTTCGTTGCTGCCCACGTCAATCTTAGTTTAGTGATGGCTGCAGCAATTTCAAGTTTGACAAAACTCCAGTTTTCAAAGTAGGTGGTGCAGAGAAAAAGCCAAATTGCTTTCACGGTGCTGCTTTGAAAGCAGCTTTGCCATTAGCATATGCTTTTAGCCTGTGTTCTGATGTAGACAGTTGTGTTACTTATCAGAGTGTGTAACAGCCCCATCACAAAGTGCCTTATTTTGATCTGTTTTGTAGTTAGAGGATTGTATTTTCCACTAAATCTCTTTAATGATATTTTTGTTGTGGATACACTAAAGCCCCTTAATTCTCTGCCCCCACCTTCTGCAAAACAAAGGAACTCATTGGATTGGGGAGATTTTTTTTTTACTCTGAAGGCTATTTTTTCCTTTGCTGTTTTGGCTTAATAAGAGCCACGCAGGTACAAGGGATAAATCAAAAAACCTCGGTGCTGCTTGTGCTCACACCTCTTGATGCACAGGGTGAAGAAGCCGAGGTTTATCAGGGCTGCTCCCTCCCTGTCCTGTGATGACTTGCAGCAGTAGCTCATGACTACAATCCCCCAATTATTGTAGCTCATGACTACAATCCCCAATTATTGTAATTCCTTCTTAGCAGGTTTTACAAGCTGGCATTACTGCTGCTGGCAGCCAGTTCAGCAGGCAGCACATTTTCTCACTGCTTGGAGTTAACTGTGCTGCTCTAGCTTTGCTTCTCATTCCCTCCCTTCGTGGCCTGAATTAACTTTGAGGTGTCCCTGCTCTTCAAGCTTCTACCAATAATTGGAGTGGCTACTTCAGATGGTCTCTGAGGTTTCAAAATCCATAAAAAAACACAGGATATGTCTTTTTAGATAAATCTTTTGTGGCGTTAAATGTTCTTTATTTCAAGGCTGAAAAGCAAGCACGGGCTGCCCCAGACTGGCCTTAAGGGCTTATTTGAACAACCTGCATTTTAATACAGTCAAGTATAAAATGACACACTCAACTAAAGATTGTAGACCGTGGTTATGGATGGGAGAATATAAGGCAGTTGAGGGCAGCAGCTTCAGAAAGAATAGGTGGGGTCATGCTTGAGAACAGTTTGAACCTGAGCACCTCTTTATCTCTGAGCAGGTGAGAGGGTGAACACACTTCAGCTGAAGAAGCAGAGGCATCATTTAGAAGAAGGAAGTGCTATGACCTTAGAATGCATCCTCTGTAAGGCTGTGTTAAAACACAGACTGGTTCTCGTGTCTCTTCATGCTGAGAAATGGAGAGAATTAGGGGAAAAAATGTTCCTAAATGATCTGTGTGAAGGCAAAGACACCAGGTAAACTCAGTAGTTCGTTGGTAAGAAAGGTAATGGTTGATCTAGACTTGTCTTCAGGTATGATGGGACAGGGATTTTGGGGTTTAGCCATTGTGTAGTATAACATAAAGTTACAAATCCATCCAGTTGAACAGGAAGCAGGAAAAATTCAGACAGAAGTAAGTTTTTGCATTTTCCTAGTGAAGAGTAATTATGAGTTGGTTCATTCTTCCTGGGTTGCTGGGTAATTCTGTACTGTCTTATTTGTTTCCATCATGACAACATAGCTCAAAAAAACACCTTGTGGCTCAAACATGGGCTCTGGGTCTGGTGCAGAAAGTATTAGAGATTCTGTGCAATTTGTTATGCTACTAAAACAGCCTCACAAGAGGAAATACTATCAATTTTCCTTAAAACTCAGATAAGAGTTAACCAGTTTATCAAAGAGTATGTTGAGTGTTGGAAGAGAACCCAGATTTATTTATTTTCATCCCAAGTCCTCTGCTCTTAAACCTTAGATCACAGTTCTTTGATTTAAAAATAGTAACTAATAATTTGCAAGCATATTATGTGTCTCTTCTTTCCCTGTTTTTGATGCATGTTTTTAATACAGTTTGTTTGTTTGTTTGCTGCCATCACGAGCTGCCAATGCCTCTCCTTAAGTCTTGCATCTTTTTTAAGGCCTGAGCTGTCACTGCAATTGTCTTTGAAGCAGGAGGTGCACACAGAGCACTTTGTAAATAACAATACCCAAGTAATATAATATACTGATTTAAGAGCCTTAAGGCAAAAACACTGTTTGCCCTGAGGGCCCAAAAAGGTGATAGACAGGTGGGTATAATACCAGAAATCCCCCTTCATGTATGTTTTAGCAAGCCCTGTAAAACATGGATTTTTAACAAGGGATTTAATCTCTCCTCCCAGCTGCTAGCTGCAGTTTCCTTTGATGTTTTTCCTCTCCTGCCCTCTGTTGTTTTTTCCTATTTATTCCCTCATTTTTCTACAGCTCCTGTTCCTTCAGGCTGTGTCTGAATGCACCTTGCTGTGGGCAGAGAAGGCAAAAGAAGAAAGCCATTTTTCCCCCCCTCAGGCTACAGCTTTGATTTTCCCAAGTTGTGGGGAGGCATTTCCTATCTGCCTATGGAAGGGTCAGTGAGCTGTGTCCTGTCTCTTCAGTCAGCACATCTCAGCTGACTCGTTCTCTGGTCTGGGGAGGGCTGAGCTCGTGTGATCGTCCCCTTGCCGAGCAGGTGGAATGTGCAGCTCTGGTCCAAGTGGGAAGCTGATCTCCAGGCTGAAAATGCCTTCCTGGTTTGCTTCCAATGTGGTCAGTAGCTAGCTTAATAATAATTATTGTTCCTAAAGGGCACGATCATGGAATCATAGAATAGTTTGGGTTGGAGGGGACCTTAAGGAGAATCTGATTCCAAGCCCTTGCCATGGGCAGGGACATCTTCAACTAGACCAGGGTGCTCTGAGCCCCATCCAACCTGGTCTTGAATGTTTCCAGGGATGGGGCATCCACAGCTTCTCTGGGCATCCTGTTCCAGTGTTATAGCACCCTCACTGTTAAAAACTTCTCTCCTGTCTCTGATCTAAATCAACCCTCTGCAGTTTAAGCCATCACCCCGTGTCCTGCCATGCCCCGGAGCAGCTGATAACAGGTGCCCCGGCACACCAGGGGGTGTGTGGGAGAAGCTGGGAGCAGGCTGTTCACTTGAGACCCTTGTGAAAATCTGCCAGGAATTTGCAAGATGCTCAGATTTGGTGCCTTTTCCTGTTCAGACTGTGTGAGATGAGAATGGACTGTGAGTGGGAAGGATACAGGTGGTGTTTTCCCTTCAAGTGTTCGGGGTGTCAGTCGGAAGAGATGGAGCACTCTAAGAGTTAAACTCGGATCAACCTCACTGTGTTTTTAGTGGATAAATTCCATTGCAAAGGGGTAGGATCATGTTGGAGTAATGTGTTTGTAATTGTGCCTTTAAGGCTGTTCCCTGCCACTGTTGTTATTTTTGTAATGCAGGACTTTACTGGCATTATCCTGACGCTAAAATTCACGTTTTCTGCCCTGCTGTCTGTGAGTGGTTTTTATTCTCATCTCGTAACACAAACTGTATAATTTGCAGTGCTAGGAGAGCTTTCTCCTGGATCACCAGCAGTGATGGTGAAGACCCAGCTCTAGGTAATGGCAGTTCAGAAATTTGAGGGAGATGGAGCTAATGTAGAACAACTGTCAGTGTTCCATTTCTGTAATGCAGCCAATATTACTATCACTTCATGAAATCTCTTTCTTTCTCTGCATCTGTTTTGTGGTGAGTTATCTATTCATCTTTCATTATTTGTGTTTATCATATATAACTTTGGAAGCTGTGCCATTGTTAGATGTTTGGACTGGCTGCAACTTACTGGAGCTATTTTGGCAACAAAGATCCATTAAACTGTTTTTAAAACTTATAAATACTGTTCGGTTTCTTTTTATAGTCCAATATTAATTCCAAGTCTGTTTTCTCTTACGAATATTTTCATAATATCATCTACATAAGTAAGCTGTGCTTGATTTCTTTTATAATCCATGATCTGTTTGGTTTCAACTTATCAAAAAGACCAAGTAATGAAAGTAAGATGTTATATTGGAAAGCTTCATCTTTTTTTTAAATATTTATAAATGTGAAGTTCAGCTCATGCAGTATTTAAATTCATTATGAAAGAAGCACTGTGGAATTTCTGAATAAATATGGAGGAAAGTCACTTGAAACATTCAGACTTATTAACATAAAAGAAGTCACTTAAATTGAAACGATGGTGCTGTGTTTTATATTTGATTTATGGTTAACAAACTGTAATACTTTAAGCTGTGTAGATAGCAGTTCATGTTTACAAGACTGCCAGTTGGATTGCACTGTAAGTACATCACTCTCTTAGTTTCAGGATCCATGTAATGCCCTTTGAAAGCCAGAATTTCAAGATTAAAGCACTTTATGTTCCCCTCAAACCCGCTGGATCCTCCCCATCAGCTGTTGTTTACGGTGCAGGGCTGTTTTCTGTCACCTGAAGAGAAGGGGGGGGCTTCTCTTGTCCAGAGTGGTCTGTTCGTGCTGCCTCTCTGCTCTTCCCATCCCATCCATTTCAAGTGGTGGCATCTTGCTAACAGGGAGATGTATTTTCCAGACTTCTCTTTGAACCCGGTGCTCCCTTTTTCCACTCTCTGCTTTATGTGGTGTCTACAAGAGAAGGAGGGGGAAAAAAAAAAAAAAGATTCTATAAACTTCCCACCCCAAGCCTTGTGCTGTTGTCTCTTCCTCCCATCCCTTGACACTTGCACCAGGCATATCCACAGCTGGAATTAGCATGGATCAGCTGGCTGGGGCGTGCGTGCCGTGGCCTCCTACCAAGTCAAGACACGAGAGCTGTGTCCTGCCAGCCTTTGCTCATGAGGCTCATTATTTATATCTCTGCTTATTTTCATGAAATAAGTAGGAATTTAAAGATCTCCTTTAAATTCTAGGCTGCTCTTAAATTTGATGAAGTTGCCTAATGTTTCCAGGAGTACTTAGAAAGGAAATAATTAACAGTATGGACATGGAGAGCGTAATTGTTTAAACCAAAGTTATTTAGGCTAAAAATCAGAGTCCATCATCTTGAAAAATGGAAAGCATGAATTCTTACCTGCAATTACATAAAATATCTTGCACAGATTGAGCAGCATTTCTTTCAGCAGCTGCTTTTCTAAGGAAGTGCAGAATTTGAATGGACTTTAGGGGAGATGGTTTCTTTCTTTCCTAAGAAAACAGTGGTTACTCCAGGACTAATTCATCTGAACAAATGTGTTATTGCTGGTGTGTTTACACTCATCTGTCTTTCTTTTGGTGCTGGTAAGGTAGAAGATTAGTTAAAGTTTAGGTCAATTTTTACCTGAGTCTTGAAGAAAATTTTCTGTTTCTCCTTTAGCAACCCATTAAATTCAGCTTTGTTCTTCTGTTATCTTCTGTAGTCATTGATCAGAGCTAATGAGATTTTAATGGAGTTATTTATTGCTTCTGCCTCTTACTATAAAAATGTATAATAAACTAAGAACATGAAACTGTTGAATGGTGGTGTTTGTGTTTGTCTCTCTGGCTGTTAATTGTACAACCCCTTCTGTGATCCCTTCAGATCTCATGAGCCAGGTAGGGTCCTGATGAGCTAACCAGCTAATAAAGGCTGGGAGGGGATTTAGCAGATGTTGCATGTTCATCTTTCTTATGGTTATCAAAGAATATTATTTGTTCTTCTGAATTAAGGCCTTTTGTTGCAATGAAAGGGTTGCCCTGTGGTTCAGGTGCTGTATTTTTCAGTTCAGGCCTTAAACTTCATGGTATTATAACTGTAGAGAATAGTTATGTTCCCAGAGCTGGGTGAAATAAAACGTGTGGATAGATTCCCCAGGCTTGTGGGGGAGCTGGGGTGAAGGTGTGTGCAAAGTACTGAGCAATAAAAACAGTAAAAGTTAGAGTTGTTGTCACAGTCTGTACTACAACAGGGTGCATGGATACACAAAGTGGTTGGCACTATTTGTTCACAATTACCAGGACTGCTTTCTACTCAGAATTTCTTTCAGAACTTAATTTGGAGTATTTTTGGTCACTGCTTCTGAGCTTGCTTTTTCAAAGCTATTTCACTGTTGTTGGAGGTCATTGACTAGTGTGTAGCTGAAGCACTCGTTACAAATAACCTTGGAAGTGAAATAAAAACTGGTGAAATACGGCATCTCCCATAAAACACATGCTAAAAGGTGTAATCGAGCCTTAATCTCTTGTCTCCAGGCAGACTCTGAGTCTCATGTTCTTTTGTAACCCATGACTTCTAAAGCATAGTTTGGGCAAATGGATGGTGTGTTTAGTGTGATGAGTTTCTCATTATTGCAGCTGAATTTGTAAGGATTCTTTTCCTGAACTGGGGGATTTTTTTTTGTGATTGAATCTCGTTTTTCGACCATTTGTGCCCTTTTTTTTTTTTTTGGTGCCTGTTGACTTGAGCTGTTTCTGCATTAATGAATTCTGCTTTTGCATTCAACACCATCATCGTTATCGCTTCTGTGTCTTACCAGTCAGGGTTGATCAAACCTAGACTGTTTTATGTCTTGAATATTTTATTAAAATCAAATTGCCTGTCAATTCTTTATCATAAGAATTCAATCATTATATTTATTTTTTTTTTTTCTTTCAAGCTGCTTGAAATTGTATGTCAGGTGTGGAGGGATGTTTGTCATTATTAGTTGCCTTTCTGAAGGGGTCATTCTGCTGTTGAGCTAAACCCCTGAAATTTAAGTTCTGTTACAGCCACTCAAGATCATGTGTGTCTCCCCCATTTATCCTCCACCCCTGGCTCTCAGAATATGCTGATCTAGTGGCTTATGGTGTTGCCTAACAGAGTGAGCTCAGTTATCAGCTTCAGCAGACACGTTTTCCCCAAAGATCACCAGTTTGGTTGCTCGAGTAGCTGTGCAGGACTAGACACAAACTGCACATGAATTTTAGAGCAATTTATTTCCTTCTTGATTACGTATAAGACTAGTTGGGTCATTCTTGTATGAGCTTACTTTGTTGTCTTCTGCTGTCATGTTTGGCTGTACCTTGTTGAGCCTTCTGCTTCAAGAGACCTTAAGCTGGAGATTTACTGCCAGAGGGATATTAATTTCCATCAAGATCACGACAGAGTTCCTGCGGGAAGTTCATTTGGCATTATCAGGAGACTGAATGTTGAACAATGTCCCTTCATACCCCTTTTGTCTGGGCAGATAAGGCTTGGGCTGGGAGACAGTGATGGATGGAATCCAGCAAGAGCCACTCGGGGCAGGAGGAAAATGAGATGATCTGAAGGGTGTGGAGGGTCTGGCCCTTTGCAGGTGCCCTTTTGTTCAGCAGTGACAGACCGTGCAGAAACATCAGTTATGTCCTATTGCAGCCTGTCCTCAACCAGTCTGGTGGCAAGGCAGGGAATTCCATTATTCCTAACAGCCTAACTGACATTTCAATATCTTCCAGATAGTAAATTTGCACGTCCTCTGTATCTGAACTGCTGAGGCTCTACTTTGGGATAATATCTGGTGATGTCTGAGA